GTTTCTCTGTAGTAAAGTGCTGCATCCACAAGCGAAGCAAACCGGCGTTGTAAAACAAGTAATGTGCGAGGGAAATATTAAGATTTTTGCTCAAAAACAACAGAAAACTTGAAATATCTTTATATTATTAAATATATCTGTGCAAAAACCAGGGGGGTTAAGGACATCTTCAAAAGCTTAGGATCGCGGTTGGTCAGTGGCAATTACCATGAAAATAAAGTAAGTGTTGTCATGGAAATGGCGTAAGATCCGCCATGTTTTTGCGGACACTTTTTTATCCCGAGCAGGTCCTCCAGTAATATAGTATAGCTCAGTGGGTATTTCCCAGGCTTGCCCAATTTTAGGAACCGCCTGCCATGCAGGCTACCAAAAACATGGCGGATTTTCACGTCTGCTGACGCCAGAATGACGCCACTGGTCCCAAATCCTCGTGGTAATTACCACTGACCAACCGCGATCCTCGGCTTCAGACGACGATTTCACCCCCCTGGTTTTTGCACAAAAAGCTGAAACTCTGCTGAATGTTTATATAAAAAACATCAAGAAAATATGCAGAGTTTTTGCATGGCTTCGTGATGCCACAATTCTTTAACATCAAGAAGAAACACTTCTTTTTACCGGTAAGATGCATTAAAATCTTTTTCTGTGCTTCATTTGTACTAAATACCGTTTTTTAAAAGAAAAAATTGGATACGAAATTTACATATAACGACGCTGTACAGCAGCTGGTGTTTTTCTGGCTTTATCACTTTTCTTTGTGTTTTATTTGGGCAGGTAATAGTTTTTGTTTTCCTCTGGAGTCCTTACCCAAAGATCCAACATCAATTTTCACATACAGTATTGTAACGGAAATGCCTTAAAATGATGGACAAGTGTCAAGTCCAAATGGTGTCAATAGTTCCAACTTATCCTAGGGTTTTAATATATTGTCATAGGAGGCCCAATATATGGTTGTATAAATGGGCAAAAAAGATCAAAACTGTTCCTAACAAGGATCTCTGTAGTGTCTCTGTCTCTCAAGTATTGAATAAAAGCTTGCAAGGCTCACACTACAATTTTGAGTTGTGATTTTAATAGACAATTTTAATCTCTTTTCATGGCTAACATATAGGAGGCCAAATAGATAGTTGTACAAGTAAAGTTTATAGTTCTGAACTTAAAAAGGCCAGCAAATAGACGTGAACTTTTCTTGACGAATATGTGGGGATGACTATTTCACAACACTCTAACTTCTATGTCTGAAATGACATATTTTAATATTTGAAAGGAAAAAATAATATAATGTTCAATAGCATAATAATGGTGTAGCATAAGCATGCAGATCAAATTATATTAATTTAGACAATATAGTACATGACTGATTGGATGTATTCTATTACACCTTTCTAGATGCCAAGAAAAATCCTGAGATGTGTTGAAAACTTGAAGAAGAATGCCCTGGTTAAATTTTTTGCCACAAAGGGGAATCACCTTTGTTCAAAGCAATTAGTATAATATTCCACTTAACCTATTGAGTAGCAGCACTCTCCACTTGACAAGTAAAATTGTCTGGTGTTAGACAGAGTGAAATACTAAAGTAGGGTGCATCAGGGCACATGCCACTTAATTAAGGGGTTAACTCATTCAGCACTCTCCCCTTCACAAATAAAATGGTCTGCCATTAGACAGAATAATAATAAAGTAAGGTGCATTGGGTTGCATTGCATCTTACCAAAGGCTTAACAGGATGCATAGCCACAAGGCATATACTGGTCAGCCCATAGAGTGCCAGAGCTCTGCCCTTGCATTGACAAGTATATTCGTCTGGCATTTGACAGGAAAATTATATGGTGCATTGCCACTTATCAAAAGGGACAATGGAGGCCTACAGCAACTCTCTTGTTCTCTCAACAGGGGGGGGCGGATGAGGTTACACTCAAAAATGCATAATTGAAACAATTGGCTGGTTTGACATTTTAATTGATTATTGCGATATTTTCACACTGATTTTGTAATTTATTTGTTAATTTTATTTTTAATTAATATGAAAATAATGTCATCTAATAACCCATAAATCAAGATACTGTTAATAAAATTGTATTTTATGTGGATGTAGTTAATTAAATATATTCATCAACAGTTTGTGACTCCTCTTTCCCAACAAGTTGCTGAATGGTACTTTATTTCTGAAAAAAATATGTGAGAAATGAATATTACACTAAAACAACCAAATACTTTATATAATAATTGTTGTGGTTATTGTTCGATACTGGATCCCAACATTTAACTGCTATTAATCCAATACGACATTACACATGATTGTGTACACATAACATTCTTGCTAACAATAAGTTTACATGAACCTTGCCGACACCCAACTGTAACCTTAACTGGCCCTCATCCTGACCGGTAAGGCCACCTGTGTGCACAAAGCTGGTCAAAATGCTCTTGAAATTCCACTCATTTGAACCCAGGGCTTAGCAGATACATGCTGCTAACAATTAAGGTGATAGTCTTGACAACTCAGGGCCTGAGGACTTGTTTGAATTCAACTGAAATTTATTTTGTATCACTTTGGCATGTTGAAAGAATGAGGAAAATAGTTCAGACAAATAGCATGTAAATATTGGGGTTCGGTGTCAGGTGAAAACCACTGTAAAATATTTTCCTCCAAAAATGCATGAATTACCAACATCAAATATCATCAAGAATGTTTCATTTTCTTAACCCCATTAAGCTGCAGAGCTTCCCCAATGGGTCGTTCCAGAAAAGATCCATACTCTCCCCACTGATGAAATTTCTACCGTCCGGAGAGGGAGGGGAGAAAAAATTGTTTCTGATAATAGTAAATGTACTATTTAATTATTTAGGACATCCGAAGGGGGTAGGGGGGTTAACTTCCTATTTCCTCCGTGGGGGTGGTATAGATGTTTTCTGGAATGACCCATTGACGAGTATAATATCGTCTGGCATTACAAGTAAAAAATAAGTAGGGCGCATTGCGGCTCAATGGGTTAATTATGAAATTGATTTTACTTATGCAATTTCTAGGGAAAATGCTTCAGGCCTCTAAACCTGATCTTATATATGAAACTAGCTTCAACAGAAGTTGGTAGAATTTAACAGCCAATTTTTGGATCTTGATAGACTTGATAATTCTACACATTATAATTTCATTGCCATCAGTGGCCAGTTAAGTACATGGATTAAATATAAATTCAAAGTCATGATAGTTCTGGCTTAAAAAGGTCTTCCTCTATAGGTATACTAATATAATAGAAAGCACTTTAAATTTACTAAGTAGTATCATGAAGCAGATGGTGGTCAAAAATGGCATTTTATATCGTAAAATTTGAAATAACAAATGACACTAAAATCTGAAATTTCAACCATTTGCTTTCGAGAAAGACTGTTTCTCGTATTAATATAGTTCTGGCAACTTAATTGTATACATCAGTTGCTAAAATTGTCCACTACACAGTACAAATAGGCTGTTTATTTCGCTTTGTTTTGACCTACTTTATCACAAATAAATATTGAACATATAAACAGTATATTTTTACCTTTACAAATAACGTCTTTACGAAATTTCTTGAGGTTTAAATATTCGTTGTTCCCTGTCTTCACTAGCCAGCATGATTCTTGCCACTTGTGCAACTCGAAACAAATGTTAAAATGCCGAAGAGAAGGCAAAAACCGAGTCAAACTCGAAAACAAAAAGCTAAAATATTTTTGCGAAAATCAGGGGGATGTGAAAGTGGTAGCGGGCTCAAAATGAGCCTTGTTCAGTGGTAATTACCACGAGGATTTGGGACCAGTGGCGTCATTCTGGCGTCAGCAAAGGCGGAAATCCAACGAAATCCGCCATGTTTTTGGCGACACTTGTTTGACTGAAGAGAGATAGGAGCACCTCCTCCAGTAGTATAGCTCAGTGGTTCCCACTCGCTAATAAACACTTAAAAACAACAATAACTTTCATCATTTGAATACTTTAAAAGTGTATTTGGAATAGGCTTAACTTAATATTTAAGTTCCCTGCTTAAGAAATAGGAAATATACGAATCTTCTCATTTCATGGGAACGACCTGAGACTGCAATCACGGCTTCAATTTTTGAATTGCAGAATAATTAGATGAACTATCTAGTGTATATCAGATATCTATGGTTACAACCATAATTATGGAAACCAGGCGCCAAAAAGCCTTAAAAGCCAAAGGGCCTGTAAAAGACCAAGATGACGCGGCGAGGAAAGCATTCTCGGGAGCTTTAGTCGCTGGCTTTCCCCACCCTGGAGTACATCATCAAAAACCCAGACTCGTGCGAGAGACCCTAGCTACGCTGAACGGGTCATTCCATTTATTATCCGCACCCCCCCTATGGATGAGCTCTGGTAAAAATGTTACCTGTAGGAATCGGATTTCAGAGAAGTACCCTGTTGGAATCGACAGTATCAATCTAAATCCTAGGAATGCTGCTAATTGCCAATATCTCACTGGTAGGAATCTGCTAATTGCCAATATCTAACCGGTAGGAATCTGCTAATTCCCAATGTCAGACCGGGGGGGGGGGTGTGTGAGAATAATAAATGAAATTATTATGATTCTCATAATAAATATTTGGCAATATAGTATGCTACACCTTGACGGCAATATCTGACCGGTAGGAATCGGGCCAAAGGAATCTGTTAATTCCCAATATCTGACCAGTAGGAATCCCCTAAGTCCTAATATCTGACCGGTAGGAATCCGCTCATCCATAGGGGGGGTGCGGATAATAAATGGAATGACCCAACATGTCAACGCCGTTTGAATTACGTTTTAAGAAAGACCCGAGTCTTCGTGCTCGTTTCATGTATGTCGATGTGTTCAATATATCTCACGCGCCAATACTTGGCGATTTCGAGATGAAAATTTTCGTCGAGTATCCATACGGCTCGGGGAATTTTATTCAAAGTGCGTCCGGTGTGGCAAAACAGATGCAGATCGACAGCATGAAAGATGTGGGCAAGAGTAGCGCCGTGTCGGGGTAAAAGCCTTTAGAATACGAGAAAATCCACGGTTCTGGTGAATGGATAACGCTCGGAGACCTTATTTCGGACAACGTCAGGTACTTCAAAGAGCCCGTGAATGCAGATTTGTTGCCTGCTCCTTATCGTGAGAACGAGCTGACCAACCCAGCATTAATACCGGTAATGAATCGTGGTCGAAATCAACGCAAACGACGAGAAGAATTTAAAGGTAAGGACAAATAGAGCGGTGTTTATCCCAGAACTTCTTGCATGCATGTATGCGTGTTTGTACAATATTACAAGCTTACGTACGTAAAGGCCTGATTCCTGATATAATTGTATATATTGTCAGTATAAACTGATTTACGAAATCATGGCATTTACATGGAAAACATTAAACAAATCGTAAATTGGTAAATGTTTTTCGGTTTATTTTTATTATTTCTCAGGGCCGTAGCAACCGGGGGGGGGTGCTGGGGGCAGCCTGCAGTCCTCCCAATAATTTGCTAATAATCATTCTTTTTTTGAAATCATGCACACCTTTATCATTTAAATAATATACCTTTAAAATACTGACAATTAATTAATTTTAAGCGGCTACATTATCCATGACAAACTGCAAAGAATCATATTTACCCATACTTTCCTGCAACTTCTCCAATATATAGTTAATTAAATATGCCTTCGCCCATTTAGTACTACTAAATTGTAAGCAAATTGTAATTTTCGACATACTAAAACGCTGTTTTCTGACCATCAAAATTCTGTCAAAACTTCCCCAAAGTCCAGGAAATGGCATTTCAGAGACTCTAAATTTAAAGACCATGTAAAGTCCGTTCTGCGCAGGCCTACATTCCAATGGTTGGAACTTGTTGGAACCTGACCGTTGGAATGTTATTAATATTTCGCACCTTCCGAACTTTCTTGAATTGAATCTCTTGTCTGTATTAATTTACAAGTATAGCGAATCAGAAGAGTGTTAAAAATTCAGTATAATATATATCTAATCACATTTTACAACTGTAGCACTTAATTACGGACTTTACACGCCCTTTAAAAATTTCCTCGGGCCTTGGGCCGTCGTTCTCAGCCCCCCAATCAAAAAGAGCTTCCCACGGCACTGCATGCGTAAAATATGCGTATTTTTGTTTGTAAATTGCGTCTTCATTTTCCGGATAGCAAACACCTTCGTATGCCATGAAATATTCGGAAATTTTTTTTGTCATTCGGAAATTTTTGGCCTACACCCCCCCCCCCCCAAACTATACATGCTAGCTACGGCCCTGATACTACCATTCGATTCAGTGAAACAAAATCTACGATACAGTTTTAGTCAAATGCCCACAAATATATCATCAAGCTATTTATGACCTTTGAGAGGTCAAGCGGTATCATTTTCACTATATTATATTTTACCGAAAATAACTTCGGCCCCTTTGGACATATAATTTTCGTAATATTCGAACCAGAATCCTAAACACTATTTATAGAGTGTTATTTTCAAGTTTGTGTCTTCAGATTTTCATCTTTTATTTCGGTATTTACAGAATAAAATCAAGATTTATATTTTTAGCGCGGCATCGAGCGATCACTGAACAAAACATTCTACAGGTCAAAGTACTCCCAGTGGCAGTGGTTTGCACGTGCATCAAAGCATCAGACAATTTGATTCTCTTTATGTGGCCAAGCATACACGTGGCGCGCTCGTGCGAATAAAGACCCGAAAAATTCAAAATAAAAATTTCTACTCGCCGTATTGAAACGAAACTTTCTACATGAAAGCGCTTGAATACAAGGCTGATTTTACTCTGATTCAGCAAATTGTGAAGAGTTTGGAAGATATTCAAGTTTTTTTCTCGTAAATATGATTCATTGTTTCGGTTTGTGTCAGTGTTTTGAAGGCACTTGACCCCCCCCCCCCCCTG